TTTTGACTTCCTGTATTATAGACTTCATCTCTAACAGTTCTGTTTGAGTCTTTTGTAAAGTGTGTAATTCCTCTTTTAGATCTTGCGAGAATTTCCTCATCTCCTGGAACTCGACTTCTTTCTCCTTTCTCTTTAGCAGTTCATTATCTCTCTTCTCTTCCATCTCTGTTAGCTTCGACATTATGAATGCTCTAAATTCCTTATGACATTTCTATGATTTTCACAGAACTGCTTGTGGATGAGGAGTTACTCTTTTCCCTTGGAGGAGAGGTATTTTCTTGTTTTCCCATATTTCTTGTTACCCAGTGGTGATTTCTTGTCATCTGATGGATGGTGTGTTTCTTTCATATTCTTGAAGTTCAGTCTGAATGTTCAGGAGCAAGCAGACAGAGGTGATCTAGAATCTCTTTGCCGTTCTGTTGTGATCACTGGTGCAGCAGATTCAACAGATATTGAGGAATATTTTAACCCACTAGTTCGTTTGCTGGAGGCTGAATTATCAGTAGCAAATCTTCATTCCCTCTAATACCTAGTTCACTGGAGCCATGTGAAACCTTCTTCTGAAGGCCTGGCCTCTTCTGCCACTAGCTCATTTGCTGGAGGCTGAATTATCAGTAGAAAATCTTCATTCCCTCTAATACCTAGTTCACTGGAGCCATGTGAAACCTTCTTCTGAAGGCCTGGCCTCTTCTGCCACTAGCTCATTTGCTGGAGGCTGAATTATCAGTAGAAAATCTTCATTCCCTGCAATACCTAGTTCGCTGGAGCCATGTGGAACCTTCTTCTGAAGGCCTGGCCTCTTCTGCCTCACTTCTGTTTAAATGTGTTTTAAAGACTCACTATAGGGACCAGCAGTTAGCATAATGGCAATGTCGCTGTACTACCATGTAGCCGACCACATTTCGAGTCCCAGACCCAGTGGCTTAAACTCACGCCAGGCGCATGTGTGTGTGTGCCCAAGATCCCGAGAGGAGAATAGAGGAGAAGGGATTGCGGCGTGGCCATCCCTCAGGAGAGTGATTTCTCGCTTTCTGTCTCTCTTGTCTATCTCTGTCTTTCTGGCGAGCGCACGCGCCCTACAGCAAAAAGCTCTCAAAAAGAAAAAGAAAAAAAAAAAAAAACTGGAGAGATGCTGTGAAAACCTTATATAATACCCTTAGATATAATACATAAATTATCTTCTGTTAATTAAATATGTCCCAGTAGATATGATTGATAACTACTTGGTCTTCTCCTGAAATCAAACTCATAAAGGACTCATTCAGCTTTTATACTAAGCAGCCAAAAAGCATTTGACAAACTGTGGCAGAGCATCTCTGCTTAAACATAGGAAAAGCAGCACTGGAGTTGGGATTAGTAATGGCTCTATTTTAGAAACAGAACAAAGCTATCATTGTAGGGGCTGTAATCTTTAGCTTATTTCTTCAAGACTGACTTACTGTGGACCAGTTTTTCCGGGAACTCCAAAAACGATCAAATTTTTCCTCTTAGAAAACTTAAACATTGTACTCTCCAGCTTATTTAAAGTAGTTAAATATAAATTGCATATTTTTAGTAACTTCTTAAGACATACTGGTATGCATTTTAGTATAGACGATTATTTATCAAGTACAAGAATGTATTCTGCTACTTGGTGACAGATAACGCCAATTATAAACCTAAATGTTTCAAAAACTGATGGATGGGGAACCAGCAGTTAGCGTAATGGCTATGTCACTGGACTCCCACACAGTCGATGCGGTTCACGTCCCAGACCCAGTGGCTTAGAACTCACGTAGGGCGTGTGTGCGTGCCTGCCCAGGATCCCAAGAGGAGACTGGAGGAGAAGGGACTGCGGCGTGACCATCCCCCCTGGGGGGTGATTTCTCACTTTCTGTCTCTATGTCTCTCTCTGTCTGCCTGGCAAGCGCACGCGCCCTATAGCGAAAACCTCTCAAAAAAAAAAAAAAGAAAAACTGATAGCTGGAAATAAAGTTTAACGTTGGTAAGTTTTTGTAGGCTACTTTATGTAGCATTTAGCTACTTTATTGACTTTAAGACACTGAAATCAAACTCAAACAAGACTGGGGAAACCTGTATATCTTGCAGCAAATGGCACTTGCATGTTAATAAACACTGTGTGAACATGACAAAAAAAAGTGTTACATGTTACAGATGATCTTTTCCTTTTACAGAAGATTAACTGTTAGTTAATCAATAGTAAAGAAGTTATCTTTTTGAAGCTTTTGTGTAGATAATGTATTAGACATTGTGTTAGAGATCTTGTTTAATTTGTTTTGGGGAAGATGGTAAAACATGTAGTCACTTGAGGTTTGGGGTGGCATGGAGAGGTCAAATAGTTGAGTATAACAAGTTTGACACTAGATGAAGATAATGGACATGCTAAAGAACAGAATTTTACAACTTTAAAAATGAAGTAATTTTTTAAAGATGAAAAGATTGTGGGCTCCTGCAAAACACATTATATTTGAAATATATCTGTTAAACTTTAAAGTGTGATTTTTGTGTTAAACTTATTGAAATTCTAAGTGTTCCTTTAATCAGTGAAGAACAATCTTTATTTATTACATAAAGCAATTAACTGTATAATTTGATATTAGAAATTTTGGTATTGGGGCAATGGTTAAGCAAGCTACTGTACAATATAGCGTCCTTAGAAGACATGTGGGTATAAAAGTAGTCCCCTTTCAAATAAAAGTTAATTTGTTTGGGGAAAAAAAAAATCAATCTGGAGAAAGTACGGGGCTGCCATACTGCTGGCATTTCTCCATTCACCTCTCAGGATTTTGTTTTGGGTGGGCATGCCTGCACACATGCCTGACGTGTTTTTCAAGACACCAGGTCTAAAACTCCACTGCAGATTTGGACATGTGGGGAGCACCTTAACCACCACGCCAGCCCGCTCCCGTTTATTTCATTTTTTTACATTTAAATCTTTAATGTATCTGTAATTTGGCTTCACAGAAAGGTTTACAAAGTCTTCATCTGTTCTCTTCCAAAGATAACTACTTATTTCAAACCATTTATATAAAAGCCACATTTTTTCTCACCAAACCCAAATTCCATTTTTATTGTATATTAAGGTACAGAACACAATATATGGTGAAATGTTTATGAAAAACACAAAACTAAATTATATATTTTTTAAAGAATTAATTATTTAATTTATTTTTATTTGTTTATTTTTAATTAGCAATAGGGCACTCGCACTCACCACAGAGAGACAAGGAAAGTCAGAAAGCAAGGGGGCACGTCTGGGACTCAAACTGTGATTGGCCATGTGAGAGTCTAGTGCCTCAACCACCATGCCACCTGCTGGCCCAAACATTTCTATATTTCTGGATCTAGACACCCCAAACTGGTAATAGTGTTATCAGAGGAGGAGATTTTGGTGGAAGAAAGGAAGTAACTGATCAAAGAGGCTTTACATATAATTTAATATACTCTACAATTTGGACTTTTTTTTTTTTTTTTGAGAGATTTTTCACTATAGGGCGCGTGCGCTCGCCAGACAGACAGAGAGAGACATAGAGACAGAAAGCGAGAAATCACCCCCCAGGGGGGATGGTCACGCCGCAATCCCTTCTCCTCCATTCTCCTCTCGGGATCTTGGGCACACACGCACACATGCCCGGCATGAGTTTTAAGCCACCGGGTCGGGACAAGAACCGCGGTCGACTACGTGGGAGTCCAGCGACATAGCCATTATGCTAACTGCTGGTTCCCCAATTTGGACTTTTTTATAAAAATACATTCACCGTAGTTAAATGGACAGTTTAAAATGGACGTAAAAATAGAACAAAAAGGGAAACAGAAAACAAATTTAATAACCCAAACTCAAATCTTCTACTAACCACTTCTACCTAAAACATGAATGTTCCATTTTGAGTAATCTGTAACCCCCAAATATTTAGTCGATGATCAATTCAAATTTATAAACACTGGTATTATTTACCCATTTCCCTAATACAAAATTTATAAATGTAATCATACCTGCTCCAAGTCAGCTATATGCCTCAATTAAAGAAAAATAAGAATACCTAAACATGAGTTACCTTACTGATTTGTTCGGAAGAGATCCTACAAGCACTGTCAGACGCTGAACACTGCGCAGAGGTGGAAAGTGATGTCATTTTGACAGTGAAGAAATTACAGTCCGCTGATAAAACTAAAAGAAAAAAAAAATTATAAAATCTATTCTAAAGTAGAAAATTCTCTTTAGCATTTATAAAAATAAGCAGTCGTCACAAGTTAAAAAAAAAAAAAGACAACAAGACATGTAAGTCAGAGCACCCTCCAAAAATACTCATGCCGCTAACGGTCTTCCTGCCTTCTGATCCCTTTCTAGTTCAGATCCTGCAAAAAACTAAAGAGCTTGATTAAAAGTAAGAACCCGCTATGGTTCCCTCAGGTGAAGCCTGAAACAGAAACAGGTTCAGGCATGCTCCAACCTCCACGCTAATGTTAATGAGTAAATTGTTTTAGCTGAAAGTCAAATTTACAATCTGCACCTCCCCAACAGCTAGCAGATGTTTCCTCAGTGGCTCCTCCCTCAGACAGGGCTCAAGAGTACCCTCTAGATGGCAGGTGGAGAATTACTGAGATTAGTAACAAATAGAAGATTCCAAGAGCACTTCAAGGACAACCTCTACAACATGTTGAAACATGTCTTTGACCCAGAGACATGGTGGTGCAGGCGTGATCGAGCCCAGTACCCAAAGTAGGACGCAGTACTTGTCCGGAGCTCACGAAGAATCAGAGGCAACACGAGAGGGGATAGGGTGGTTATCTGGGGCTTTGCCCAGGCTTGTTTTCAGAGGGGCCTCCAGCATGCAGGTTCCCTCATGGTAGAGAGCACAAGCTGGATGGGTCTGGTTATTGTTCTACTAATTTTGGACTGGGTATGAAGGTCAGGAGATTGTCTAAAAGCTTGGACCATAAAAACCATTATCTTATCTTCTTCCTGGAATGTGGTGAGGCCTGGAAAAAAATACAAAGTTGTCTCCGTCTTAAAACTTCCATTTGGGCTTATACCTGTAAGGTTTCTTTCCAAGCAACACCTGGTATGCTCCAGGTCTGACCAGGAACCAGGGCCAAACTTCTGCATAACTGGTCTTGGCTAGAGCCCACACTCTAGGTGCTGCTACTGCAAAGTCACACTGACCCAGGAAGGAGCAGATAAAGACCCAAAGCAAGCACTAGAGGTCTAACACCCTAGAAGTAGATCAAAAAGACCCACCACGGGAACCAGCAGTTAGTGTAATGGCTATGTCGCTGGACTCCCACGTAGTCAACTGTGGTTTGCATCCCGGACCCGGTGGCTTAGAACTCATGCCAGGCGCGTGTGCGTGCGTGCCCAAGATCCCGAGAGGAGAATGGAGGAGAAGGGATTGAGGCGTGACCATCCCCCCTGGGGGGTGATTTCT